TGGGGTCTAAGAGTAAAGACCGCCATGCGCTTGCGCGTGTTGCAGGGGCTGCCAGCAGTTCAGGGGACAAGGACACTCCGCAGCCCACCGAAGCCGACAGAAGTCCGGAGACCGTGACGGCTGTGGCTACTACGTCATCGCCCAGCTCAGCGACCTCGAACATGCTCTCCGTTGTGCAGGTACGCCACAACGCAGACCCCGAATTCAACCCCCATCCCCCAGATTTAATAGTAGTCACGTTCTTATCACACTGGGCATTCCATCAAGTTCCATAGCCAATCACTTTACTTCACTTCTTTTAAGGGTTTTATAGCGTGCAATTTCACGTAAGCATCCCATTTTCACAAAGAAGGGCAAGCAGACCGAGCCACGGCTGCAATACCGTGTTAATTTGAACTCTGGTTGTCATCTGCAGGTGATACCATCTCGACTGCCGGACGGACAAGTCGTCTTTCTCCTTCCCAGCCACTACGTGCAGTTGGCGGCAGCTGCTGCTGCTTCAGAAGTTGGCAGCCCTGCAACATCTTCTACAGCGACGGCGTGGGCAATTAGCAACGACAAAATCTGCATCGAGAACAACGCAAGCATTGTTCCTATCGATGACTCGATCGATAGCGAGTCCTTGTCAGATCAACCGATCGATTTTACCATTGCTAAGAGGAGAGAGAACGGGATACTGGAGGATGTCAAGGAGGAAGGGCCCGTGTGGAGACCGTGGTAGGAGTGTCCGCGTCGAACCTGTGGGAGAATGCCTAGTGGCACTCATTTGTTTATGGGCAACAAAACCCAAGCCTCTCATTCGCGTCGGTTGCCATGACGACGGGCGGAGCGTCGCTTCGATTGTACAATCGCTGCATGAAAGAAACAGGGCTGTTGGACGTTTCCCATATTTCCATTTCCAAAGAAAAAAAAGTCCCTGGAGGATAACGTAATTTCATATTACGGTAATTTTAATTGTTTTGGCGAAACACACTCCACATCGTCACAACCTGTTATCGATTTTACATGCGGCTATTGCGATTAATCGATTAGTCAGTCTGCTTAAGCCATACGGCAGAGTGGTATCTATACGTGCCACCTTCTTTAATAATCTGTAACAATTGCATATTCCCCACATAGTGTAATTATGTGTTTTGTATGGATCTGAAAATAAGCAAGTTTATTTCCTTAAACAGCGTTAACCAGTTGATCTCCGTAATGGTGAAGTGTAGTGTTTTCTTCGCGGTACGGACTGAATTCTTAAGTTTCATTTGAAAGAGCTTCGGCTCCAAAGGTTAATTAGCGTTTTAGTCGTATTATTTCCTTAAACAAGGTTAACCAGTTGATCTCCGTAATGGTGAAGTGTTGTGTTTTCTTCGCGGTACGAACTGAATTCTTAAATATTATTTAGACGAGCTTCAGGCTAAAGAGAGATAACCAGTCAGTCTTCAGTAACAAATTCATTGTTTTTCTTAGTGACGAAGACATCAATTAACATTCAAATATTTGGATTCCACTTTCTAGAAAACAATTCGCTCTGCGCGGATTTACTAAACTTCAAAGTAGGTCTTACATTTGAAACTTTAATGGATATTAAACAAAATTAAGTTTCTTGGGCGAGTAATCGCATTGAAAATGGAGTCTGAGTCTGTCTCTGCCTCCATCTTCAGGGGTTGTTACATTCAGGCCCGCCTTGCGCTATAAACAGTTTAATAGGCTTTACCCTTGTAATCATGTCTTTGGTAAACAAATTCCGCTTAGCGCTACCGAAACCACGTATTTATTTTGTTACAAAACTGAATTTCCCTGTAAGTCCGTGCTCCTCAGCGACCCAGAACATGGCCTTCGGTCAGCGTCTGGTCTGCCGAGGCTCGTTCAGTGTTGTGTTCGTGGGGCACGCTTATCGAGTGACGGACGTTTTTGTCTGAACAATGAGTTTCTTTTCTGGGGAAATTACCCGGTATAAGCCCGGCCTATCTGTAAATATAGGCCTACCAGTTCCGTGTCTGTGTGTGTATATATGTCACTTTAATACGATGTTCTGTAAACCGCATCCTTCAAACACAATTTACTGAATGTTATCGGAATTAACATGACGTCACAGAATGGCAGTCATGTATGTTAAATACGCAAATGGTATAAGTGTTAGACCACATGTATATGTTGTAAATAATAATGTAATATAGCAAAGTTAGTTTAATCGTTTGTCATTTGTCTCTCCCTGAAGCAACACGATGCTGTATCGGAATTCTTTACACTCATGAGTGCTCATTACCAATTTAAAATGACCATTTTTCAAGATCTCCTATCAGCCACCTTCGTGACCAAACATTTTCCCTTTGGAAGACATGAATAAAAGAAATCCGTTGGGACTACGACTCCTGACACCACGACCAAACCTCATGGAACGAAACTGCCAGGAAGAACGCTTCAACCCTCGCACAAATGATGATGATATAATCATTGATCCATTTACGTGTGTTCGGTTTGAAGTGACTGAATAAGAAATTATACAACGTCTTTTTTTACACGAATAACGGAGGACAACAGAGCTCGTGGTGACCAAAAGAATATTTTCTCGGCTAATTACTGAGTTCCTTAGCAGGGGACTGAGTAGCTACATTGCAAGTTAATGACTTAGTCGCTTAACAAACTAGTGGGAAAACTGTTTAAAAACTGTAGAGATATTCCCTTTAAAAACTATTGAGTCACTTAAAAGAAACTAATGAAATCGTTACTTAAAAACTCGTGAGCTAGTCGCTCAACTTGGCCACCGGTGACCCGGGGCTGAGACGTCGCGGTGCCTCAGGTTTTAATTAGGCCTTGTTTCCGCCGATCGCACTCCTCCCATCCCACGCCACGGCACACGCGCCTCGTCAGTCCCCTGCACACGACTAGAGAACCCAGCGACGTCCATTCGAAATGATCGCCGTAAAAGACGCAGATCAGTTCGGACTTCCGAATGCCGCTCCGGTAAAAAGTGCGTCATTCACTTATGTCGGCTTTAATGTATTTGCGATCATGAAATCACCAAGACCTTGGAAACGTTTCGTCTTCTCGTCGGCTACGCAAAAGCGGGAAGACGGAACTACACCAAGCAGTGATTTTACCTTCTGCTTTGTACGGGTGTGAAACTTGGTTTCTCACATCAAGAGAAATTACACGGGAATGGAGAAACTCGAGTTTTCTTTTCCCTTCACCAAATGCTATTATGATAATGCAATCGCGAACCGGAAATCACACACAAACGACAGGAACTCGGTCCAAACACGCGTCTATATTACTAATCCCAGCGCTAGTGATACTCGGGCTCGCTGTTGCCGGTGTGTACAGACAGCTGCTTTACCACGAATCGCTCGTCAAACCGTCCACAATTGAGAGGCACGCGAGCACGAACGCAGGTAATGTGGACGCACCTACAAACAACCTAGAGAGCGACAGATATGCTGGTATGTTGTCAGTGAGCAGTGCGGACCTGCTGACGCCATCATCAGATCACAGGGTGGTAATTAAAAGTTAAAAGCCGCAATTTAATAAAACAACAGAAAAAGTAGTTCAGCAGCGAGACGCATGAAGTGTACGTCTCTCGAAGGAAACAACAACAGACCGCAGAGTTCACTGTGAATCCAAAGCGTAAGACTTAGATCCGTAGGTAGAAAAGTCAGAGTGCTCCGTGACACATAATTATCACAAAATATTGTTAACTACGCATATTACGAAATATAACAGCAGTCAAAACAGTTAACGTTTAAGAGTGCAGTGGTAACTATATATACCACTGTATATAACAATTAATAACTTTTCACTGTGTCTACAAAGTGCATTTATGTGTTTCGTATTATTCTCAGAATAAACAGCGTTAACCATTTGATCTGCGTAATGGTGAAGTGTGGTGTTTTCTTCGCGGTACGGACTGAATCTTTAAATATTATTTAGACGCCTACGCACTGTATCTATGAGTTTCGTGTGATTCTCACTGTAAACAGCGATTATTTCCTTAAACAGCGTTAACCAGTTGATCGTCGTCTTGGAGATGCGATGTGTAGGAAAACTCACTTCTTTATTACAAATACCAGTCTGTTAATTTTAGGAAAATAACAGCTGTTCATTCTCAGGATCACACGAAACACGCAGGCCTAGATTTTAAAGTCAGCGAATGTTAAAGTAGATGGTACATATATTTACCACATCGCTACAAAGCGCTAAAGAGAGAGCAGCGAGGCGGACATTGCATCAGCTTAATCGTCATCTTGTGTAGGGGCCTCATGAGAAACGAGAGGGCGGCAACACGCAACACTTGCCACGACCCGGTAGACAGACAGACAGACAGACAGACCGACCGACCGACAGACAGACAGACAGAGCCGAGCCCCGGCGCAACCACGCAGCATGGTTTGTAGTCATGGCAACCCACTGGACCAGACAATCCGCAATGCACAAGTGTTGGAAAGGTTCTTGATCAGGAGTTATGTAGGACGACAGAGTCAGATCGTGGCCTATTACAAGGCACATTTCATTTGTTCGAACCTGTAACCCTGAATTAATACTTCTCGCTAATTGTTCTGATCATTGCCATTGCAGTTAATACGTGAGTACAAAGTCACTGAACGAAACAAATATCACGGAGGTTGTGATGGGCTGGTCATGTAGTTTGGACGGAGTCAGAAAGGAACGCGCGTAGGATGTTCGAGTGGATAGCCAACGAAAAGCACTTTCTCTAATATTAAGAGTGAACTACAAGGATAATATTAAAATGAGTGTGTTTTAGGTGCATGAACTGGATTCATCGACTCGTAGATTATTAACAAGCGTAATTAAAATCAAAGTAATCAGATCCATTTGTTGGCTCTAGTGCTCCGTGGTTGGTTAGTTCAGTGTTGCACCGAGCTCGTGGGATCTGAACGGTGGTCGATGTCTACAAGAACAGACAACATCACCCAGAGTACAATCGTTCTTGATAACCTAACAGTCGCTCAGATAATCAAGAAATTAAGCCCCTTTCATGAAACCCGAAGGTTCATTGTCCATCGTCCCTAACCTGAGCCAGATGAATCCAACCTATTTCTCGAATATCCGTTTTAATATTATCCTCCCATATTCGCCTACGCCTCTTAGGTCCAAATATTCTCCTAAGCACCCTTAATATGCATACTGTCATTAACGTAAGAGACCAAGTATTACAGCGATACAAAACAACAGGTAAAATTATATATTTTTGTATATTTTAATCTTTAAATTTTTGGACTCTAAAAAGGAAGACAGAAAATTCTTAACTGCAAACATCTTCCGAATTTAATGTTCTCTTAATTTATTCTTGAATGCAATTTAGATTCGTTGCCACAATTCCAAAATATTTTAAAATCGTCGCTTTTTCAAAGAACCTTTTATCTACCTGTACAAAACTAAAGACGAGGACTGTCCCCTAGAACCACAGATTTCTGTGACCTTCTTGGGTGATGTCCCTCACAAAATCGCACAGGCCTTTCGTCCCGTGCATGAAACAAGAATGGCTGAAAGGATTTTCATGAAATTTTATTTTGCAGTTTTTTTTTCTAAAATTTGTCAGGACTTTCATATTTTGGTTAAATTCGGGTAAAAATAACGGAGACTGTACGTTCGGTTCTGTTTTTCGAAGTGATTTTTCTGGGGGATCCCCGGCTGGGGAATCCTCACACAATTCACAGAGCTTATAGATAAAACTATGACGAAAGCGCCATAATTGTTGCTCTGTGTTAGACTACATTTTAAAAATAACGGAGACTGTACGTTCGGTTTTTCGAAGTGATTTTTTTCTGGGGGATCCCCGGCTGGGGAATCCTCATGCAATTCACAGAGTTTATAGATAAAACTATGACGAAATCGCCATAATTGTTGCTCTGTGTTAGGCTACATTTCCAAGGTTCCCTAAATTTAAAACAAATTGTTAAGGGCTAATTCGCCCAATCTAAACTGAAATCTTCCTATAAGACTTTTCTTCGTAACACATCATGGTTCGTATTTTACGCCAATTACCTTGACAATGCATTACCTCTATATTATTGTGGTTTCTGGAAGTGTTGCAATGTCACCCCCCCCCCCCCAAACCCCCGACGTCACTGTCCTGGTTCTCATTGGCGCGTGGTGAGTTTGTATGACAGCCCGGAGGCTCTTCGTTAATATTTGAAGCGCCTTCTGGGCGGCGAGCCCCGATGACAGGGCAGGAGGCAGGCCGCCTGTGGTCGCCATGGTGATTACGCTCATTAGGATATTGATGAATAGGTCGGAAGACAGGCGTGCCACTCCGGGGCACCTGTCCCCACAACAATGATGTAAAAATGCGGAAAAATACGAAACCAATTCCACGTTCCGTGAACCGAGCGAAAAACGGTCGATAATGCAGCACCGACATTGACCGGCAGAGATAGACCGAGAACTGTTCGCCGTCTTGCCGTAAATTTATGGACTGTCATGCGAAAAATAAAGGTAAGAGTTACACTGCCTTTCTTCATACGCTACTACGTAGCATAAATTACGAATCAGTTATCTGTATAAGCGAGAAAACTGCCCGTTATGAATGACGGGAAAGTCTAAAGTACGGCAATCACGGCTAGAAACATTACTCCATAAGGCCCACAATCACTTACGAACACAAACTATTATTATATATTATTAAGATAAATTTAGGTACAAATTTGTAAACAGTTTCTGGATGTGAAATAAAGAAAGTGTGAATTTAACTGGGAGTTAATGAGGAAAAGCCCACGACCAAGGACTGGGCCTTGAGAAACTTTTCGTTATACAAATACCCTATTTGAAAAGTGCCATTATTTGTATCTGGTGATTTGGTTTTTGGTCTGAAGTTACTGCTTAAACCACTGACCAGGCATATTTTTAATTGAATAAAAATGTAGTTTTAACAGTAATAATTCATGATTTACACAATTAAATGCTTTAAAAAAATCACAAGATATTACACTAACATGCATTTATTATTAAGAGCACTTAAGATTTCATCTGTCAAAATTTCAAAGGGCTTTATCAGGTGAGACACTTTAACTTTATCCAAATTGTTCACGCTGAGTTTCAAAAATCACTTATTCTCTAAAAGTTACGTAAGAAAAATTTCGCCCTCCTTCAAGTTATAATTATTAATTAAGTTTGGAAGAAAATACGTACCGATATTTTCAAAAACATTACCCTGAAATAAGTTACGATTGTCTAATATTTAAATTGCAGTAAAGAAGTTTCGTTGGTCTTCTGGGATGTAACGTCGGGTGAACTTGTAGGGACATACTGCCTCAATTTTCGGGGCAGAAACAGGAGGTATGTTCCTCTGAAACGTCGGTATCTACCTACAAGCCCATATACGACGTCATAACCTAGAAGACAGACGTGGACCACCTTCAACGCCGTGAGAATCTCAAATCCGACAAATAAGTAGATAATTATAAAGTGCACAAACTTCAGCGAAAAATATTCATTTCGGGAAGTTATGACGGAATGAATCACTGCCATATTGACACAACTCAATGGAACTAAAACGAAAATATTCCAAATATGTCCCTTCTAAATATGTCATTCTACAGAGCGAGGACGGAGGCAGAAAGGAACTCCGAAACGTCGGTAAATACCTACCACACTAAACGTCGCGACATCCCAGAATTCAGTCTTCTAATTCTAATTTCTAAAAAGAATTTATCAAGTCCCGAAATTCCTTCGCCCTTCTGTGTAACGCCACTGCAGTGCGACAAATCACATTGACGAGAGTAAAAACTGACGCACAAAGTTTCTCAGAATATAAAATCAAAATCGATTTTTGTACAGAATCATGAGAGAACCCTAGCAAAAAA